TCCTTCGCGGGCAGAGATACAGTCCCGGCAGGGCCCCTTGCACATCAGCACAGGCTGCAGGGAAGCCGTGAGCACACACGGCAGGACGAGGCCGGGGGCTCCCAAAAAAAACGCAGGACGGCTGGGCTGCGTGGGAGGGCAGCTGGGAGCAGCCCCAAGGCAAACGCAAGCACGCGGCTCTGCCCACACTTTCGGCCGCACCCCGGGGCTCCCTGCCACAGGACAGGGGAGAGCCAGAGGCTCCCGACCCTGCGGGAGAAGACAGGACACTGACAGAGCAGAAAAGCCACGGAGACACCAAAAGGGCAGTGGGAGCTCTCTCATGGGGCAGGGATTCTCTCCATGAGGGGTACAAACACAGTACTGAGAGGGCTTTGAGCTGGCAGGCAGGCAGAGGATGCCAGCAGAGGTTTTGCTCCCTGAGCCCCTTCACACACCACCCTGGGACTTGGCCAAACCCTGATGCTTGCACCAGTGTTTGCATTTTAACTGGACACCAACAGGAGAGGTGAGGAACATGGTTATTTCTGAAAAAAGGTAAGAAGAAACAGAGATGAACAGACTTGTTCCCAGTACAATAAAAAAAGCACACTGGTAAATACAAGGACAAAGCCTGTCCCTGACCTGCTAAAACAAAGCCCAGCAGGAGCCCAAAATTTTCAGCCCTGACTCTCTACTTTGCAAAACCAGGGCTGAAAAGTGCCACCACGTGTCCAAGATTCGGGAAGCGACTTTCAGAGCTGGGGCAAGACACAGGGTGCTGTCAGCTCCAGCTCACTCCATCCTCAGCCTGGATCCTGCAGGGATCTCCCGTGGGAACACATCCCTGGGTGCCCTGAGCTCGGGGAGGCACTGCTGGGCAGTGCTGCCACCTGGGAACGAGGGGATGTAAGGCACATCCAGACTGACAGCAGGACACTGCTGGTAGTATCTCCCTGCCCCCGGTGCTCAAATATTACCGTTCAGTGGGAGCTGGATCTTGGTTGGGGCCCGTGCCCAGCTAGGCAGGCAGCACTGGTCGGCACTCGAGGTCCAGCACAACGTGATGCACGTGAGGAGCATAGGATTTCACTGCCTCGATGTGCAGGACTCTGGTGTGCCACGGCTGCCCATGCAGCTCTGCTAGCAGCCCCTGGATCCGTGTCGCTGTGGCTTCAGCCCACCTCTGCCACTCGGGTCTGATCCTGGTCCCCAGCACCTCCTTCCCTCTGTTCTCCACTGGGTGCTGTGCCTCTCTGTCAGAGCTGGCTGCCTCTGGAGACCCCTGCTCAGCTGGTAGGACAGGGTTCTGCCATAGGGCTGGTGCAGGGGGAGTCTCCACGTTGTGGTGGATGTGCAGAACCCCACCTGTGTCCTTCTTCAGGACACGACAGGCCACTGGCCAGCCTTCCTCTGAGCTGGGGATCAGCCCCAGGTTCACCCTGTCCGCTACGTCCCGCAGCTCCAGCTGGGAGGAGAGAGGAGGTGAGGGGGATGCTGTGTGAGGACAGGGGTCTGCAGCCAGACAGCAGCGCTCACCTGTCGGCTGTCCCCGTGGTGGATGTGGCAGCGATCCCGCACACCATTCAGCACCAGGGTCCTGTGCAGAGCCTCCACGGCATGAATGTTCCACTCGCAGGCGTGGACAAAGGCAGCTGCTGCATGAACCAGGAATGGCAACGTGAAGTAGCCGATGCCTGTGGGCAGGAGGTGGCAGTTGCTGAGGGCAGTGACCTGCCAGGGATCCATGCTCCTCCCTGGAGGCAGGGAGGGATGTGCATTGCCACCCCAGCTCTCCAAATCTGCTTTGCTCTGGATTCGAACAAGCCCAAATACTGGGAAAATGGAAATTCATCCCTCCCTCCCTCTTCTGCAAAAGCAAAATCTGTCTTGAAAAAAATTAATAGAGGAGCTTATTTTACCTTCAGTCTTTGGCCATCAGCTTGAGACTTGGCCTGCACTGCAGAAGTGCCCAGACTAACATATAGTTTAATTAATCCAAAGCAGTTTTATGGGTGCCGTGTCCTTTCAGTGTGGCACAAATTAGAAGCACTAATTTCCCTATGCAGAAAACAGTGGCAAATCTTTCCCCTGGATCCAAATGCTTCCCAGGATCAGCACCAGGTAAAGAGCACTTCTCTGCAGAGAATGAGTGCAAAGCCATCCTAAGCATCCCAAGGCAGCAGGGACACAGGAGGGGGCAGCAGTGCCAGGACCGCCAAGGGCTCACAGACAGCACAGGAGCTCTAAGCCTGGATATTTTTTCATTCCAGACTGGAAATGACATTTCATATCCACTGGGATGCCATTGGTACCTGCATCACTGCTCCCTGCCTCCGCCAGCCAACCTGGCCAAACCCCTCTGCCATCCCCGTTACCTGCGTAGAGATCCACCAAGACCTCTCCGGAGCAGGGCAGCGAGGCCACCCGCAGCTTCTCCGTGATGTTGCCTGGTGAGAACATGCACTTGGTCACGTCAAAGGTGTACCTAGGAGACACCACCAAGACAGTGAGAGCAGCCCCTTCCCTGTACCAGCCCCATCCTGCACTGCAGCTCTTGCCTACCTGATCCCATTGTCCACATGCTCCACCCAGCCATCCTGGCCCAGCAGCAGAGTGACACTGGGGGTCCTCATCCCATCTGGCAACACCCGTCCTCTCCTGGCCACCCGCCGGGCACCCAAAGCTGAAGCAACTGTCTTCCAGAGTGCTGGACCTGCAACACACACATCCCAGGAGATTTGGGAAAGGCCAGGACAGTTCTGCAGGCAGGATTGGGACAGGCAGACCCTGCTTCCCCTTCCCCAGCCTCTCCCACAGTGCAGCCTTGAAGCTGTCCTCGCTCAGCAAGACCAGGTCCCCATGTCTCTGCCAGGCATGGGGCACGTCACGGTCCAGCTCCTCTGACCAGCCCTCACCCAGCAGCTGCTGCAGTTCATCCCGTAGCTTCTGGGCAGGTGTCCGCTGGCGGGATGCCCTGGAGGGGACAGGGTCCTGCAGGAGGGATGTGGTTTAGGGGGCTGAGACCCCATCGCCCCATGGCAGGGCTCAGGGCAAGAGGTCTCTCCCAACCTGGATCTGCACCAGCTCACAGGGCATGTCTGTGGGCAGGCACAGCTGGGAGAGCTTCTCCTCCAGCACAGGCAGGGCCACACGGCCCCCTGGCATCTGCTGCAGCTGGTAGCGCCCATCCAGGAGCTGCTCCTCTTCCAAATGCTCCCTGCAAGGCCAAGAACAATCAGGACCTCCCCAGCTCCACAGTCCCCTCCCAGTGCAGGACAGGGCTCCCATTCCCTTTCACTCCCATTCTTCCTCACTCCCATTCCCTCTCACCTGATGCACTGGGCAAACCGACGCTCTGTGGCCAGCGCAGGGACAGGGATGGGGACATCCTTGGCTTCCATCACGGATGAAGAGACATCACCAGCTGGCAGGGACATGGTTTGCTGCCAGGTGGGCACAAAGTGTTCAGGCTCACCAGGGACAGGAGGGAGCTGGGCATGGGGGTGTCCCTGTTACCGTGCTGGTGGCATCAGAGCCCTGGCTGTCCTCCTGGGGCAGGGACTGGCTGCCCTAGGGGGACTGGAGATGGAATGACCAGGGACGTGAGGTGCCTTGAGGTGGTGTCCCAGGGAATGAGATGCTCTGAAGAATGGGGATGAGGTGCTCAGTGGAATGGGATGCCTGGCCATGGGTACCCCAGGGAATAGGGTGCCTGGGGAGTAGGGTACTCCAGAGGTGGGGTACACCAGGGGTGGGGTATCCCAGGGGATGGGATGATCCAGGGGAATTAGGAGGATGGGGTACCCTGGGATTAGAGTGCCTGGGGATAGGGTGCCCTAGGACTGGGGTTCCCAGGAATGGGGTGACCCAGGGGATTAGGAAGATGGGGTACCCTGGGAGTAGAGTGCCTGGGCTTGGGATACCCTGGGAGTGGAGTGCCCAGGGATGGGATGCCCTAGGAGCAGGGTTCCCAGGGATGAGGTGCCTCAAGTGGGATATCCTGGGAGCGGAGTGCCCGGGGATGGGATTCCCAGGGATGCCCTAGGGGTGGGTTCCCAGGGTTGGGGTGCCTCGAGGGATGGCGTGCCGGGGGTTGGGGTGCCCTGGGAGCGGGCGCCTCCAGGGACGGGACTCCCAGGGACGGGGTGCCCATCAGCAGGACGCGACACCTCGGA